TAGTACCTTCCCATTGCATAACCAACCCCCGAACTCTCAATCTCTTTCAAAAAACGCATTGTATTTTCATTACTTTTAAGTATTATTTTACATTGCACCTTTAAGGGTTTTATTTCGCTCTTTCCCCTTTTCCCTTGGAAATAATAAAGCGCGGTGGAGACTCTTGCTTTTGTGAGTCGAGTTAATTAATAGCTTAATATCTGATTTACCCCGCTATATTTTTTATCGCTATAGTTGGAACCGCACAAAAATATAGGGTAATGATGATTTTAAACCTAATCTCCAGACATCACATTGCTCTTAGATGTCAATCAAACGACGAATTTTGACAAGTGTCAAGATGAGTTACATCCATTCATTTGAAAGGACATATGAGTTACTGTTCTCAATAATCAGGAAAACCAAAAGGTTTCTGATTTGAGATGTTTCTGATCAAGCTATCTTCTAAATTGTAGTAGTATCTAGGTACATAAAAAATATAGCATTAGAGAATAAATAAATTATAACCTGATTTCTTCACTTTCTATTTCATCGAATTATACACTCTCACTTAAGTCTTTTTAGACTTAGATACCCGATTCCCATCATCACTTTCTTGGAGTACTTCTTTACCAAAAAAATTCTACCCAAGAGATCAATTTCATAAGTGTTTCCATAAATCTTGTTATGACAATTCTGGCAGTTCTTCAGATTCAACTCTTTTTTATTTGTTCTATACTTTATTTCTGAATCCTTATGAAGCATAGTACCCAGCATTTTAGATTTCAGGTTTTGGAACATATGCTTTATTCTTGTTGTGTGTCATAAGCATCCAAAGCCCAGGTGTCATGATTGGTGTTTTAACTCTGTTGCATAAGATATCTACAACATATACAATCTTTTCTTTTGGTACTCATAATCTTTTGGGTTCTTTAGAGTTAGTTTTCCCAGAGTTTTTGATAAACTTGGGTTTTTGTGCAGCATTAACTTTTCGTGTTTGTGCAGAATTATAATGATAAGAAAAAGGAGATATAGGTTGATTTTCTCTAAAAAATTTATGATTGTTGTTATCAGGTTCGTAACATGTTTCTTCCTTTTTACTTTGACTAACACCATAGATCATAAAAGTCATCTTGTTTCTGCTTATGTTGTTGTTTAAGAATTTCTAAAAAGTCTTGTCATACTTACATAAGGCATTTTCAGAAGATGGAGAAGCTCTAGAAATGGTTTCGTCAAGATTTAAATAGTTTTTATTTAGAAAGGCTACTATTGGTTTGGTTTATACAAGTTCACCTTAGAAAAGGCTACTCTTGTCCATCCGCCAAGGTGATTTCTCCTTAGAAAAAGGACTTAATCCACTAATCTTGAAAGATTAAAAATGCACGGGCTACCCGTCGGTGAGTAATAACAAAGCAATGATAATATGTTAGTAATCCCTTTAGAATTCTGACCTACCTAGTCCCCTAAGAGATATAACAATTACTGACTCCTTAAGGCTTCTGACCTACCCGGTCCCTTGAAAGAGATTTCTCTAAATCTTCTTGAGTATTCTGACAAACACCATAGTCACTCAAGAAACAATTAACTTATAGTTGAATAATGTGTTTACAAGTTTGCTTCTTACAAGCGGATTACACAAATGTTTAAATACATATTGTTTAACACAAATATGAGCAACAACTCTTGTGTTTAAACAAATTACAACAGTAACACAATAATGAGAAACAACTCTTGTATTCTAGAAAATAATAATATCAACACAATAATGAGAAATAACTCTTGTGTTTTGATCCTTTTTTTTTGCTTTGATTTGGGTAGCGTTAATGTTCTTGTGTTACAGTATTGTGTTTTACAAATGAAACTGTTGATCCTTTATATAGGCATTGAGGAAGTAGACTGTTGTAATAGTACACACGTTACTTTCATCTTCCCAGATGCCAACAGTAAGAAACGATCATGGGAGATAAATAGTACACAATACATTCATTTGAGTGGAATGTGTAATTGTACCTTTGTACTAATTCTTCTAGCACGCGTTTATGATGATACTGTCTTCTGATGAATATTACTTCTGATGAAGTAGATTGGCTTGAGAAGATATCATCTTTTGATCTTGTCTTCTGATGGACTATATGATGTAAAATAGTAATGAGTCTAGAAGACCAAACTTTCCTTGATCTGTCTTCTGATGGAATGCTTCTAATGTAAAATAATGTGTGCATATTCCATGAAGTATCTGAGTCTTCAGAATCTTGACTTTTTCTTCAGAATTAGAAGCAACAATTTTTCAGATGAACCAATCTTGACTTCTAATTCGGAAGTAGAAGCTTTCTTTTGATGTGTTTAGAACCTTGACTTTATCTTCAGAGTTAGAAGCAACAACTCCTCTGACGAACAAATCTTGACTTCTGATCTTTGACGTAAAAGCTTATTTCTGGTGCAATTTTATTTTCTGATCTCGGAGCAATAACTCTAACATAAATTCTTTCTTCTAGAATACTTGTGACTTCTGAAGCAACAACTTATTGAGAAGTACACGTTGAGATCCTCTTTCTGGTGAACATTCAACATTCTTCAGAACTACTGTTGTTTCTTCAGAAGCGAATGCACGTGCTTAGTATATTTCTGATGATTCTTCAGACAACAGTCCTGAATCAATTAGAACTTCTAATCTGCACACTCAAGAAACTATTAGAAACAAAATTGTTTACATATAAAATATATGTATTGTTATCATCAAAATACAGAGATTAATTATAGAATCAAAATCTTGTTCTAACACCTACTTTCTTATAGGTTAAGAAATGTCAACTCACCCTACAATTAGCCCTAGTCGCCCTAGCTCGATAAGCTCACCGCCCATCTTCACTTAGCACACAAACCTTTCATTCACCATGAAATTACTTAACCAAGAAGTCTTCTCTCGCCCGTGCTCTCCTAGTGGCCATGAACATGACCTAACAATCCTTACTTGTAGAAAGTTGGTCTTTACAAGGTCTTTGTGTGTTGCTTGATGGTTTGTCTGTCCTTTTCACCCATTTTTGATAAATATGCAAGTAGAAAGTTGGTCTTTGCAAGATTTTTGTGTGTTGCTTGATGGTTTCTTGTCTTTTTCACCCATTTTTTATAAATATGTAAGTAGAAAGTCCAAACAGATTTTTTTATCACTTTTTCATAGATAAATAGGAGGTTTTTGTATTGATTGCTTGTAAAATAAGCCAACAAATACCTATGTATTTATATAATTTTTACACTTATCAACAAGCCTCTTTGATTTCCTAGAAGAAGTTCGAGTTATTTATCTCTTTAGTAAACTTATCAAGGGTGTTTTACATGTCATCAATTTTATTTTTTAAAACATCTCTTTGATCACACTTGATAGGTTCGACAAAAACATTCTAAGAAGATGAAGTATTTTGAATTAAAATACTTTCTCTCTTTTTAAGACTTTTTATTTCTTTTAATAAGTTTTTATTTTTTATTTCAAGAAATAATAATTTTATAGATAGAGACAAATATTTTTATTTACTTGATTCTTTATTTAACTTCTTACATATGCGAAATAAATATCATAAGTGAAATGTGAAGTTACCTCATATCATTGTCATATTTGCTTCTTTATCATTTGAAAATTCCATATCATTGTCATCTTAAACGAGAAAGATTTTTTTTAACAAATTAACGAGAATTACAATAAATAACAAAAATTTTACTAAAAAAAATTAACACTATATTATTCTTCGATTATATTTTTTCAATCAAAACATATCTCATTATTCTTAGGTTATATTTTTTCAATAAAAAACATAACAATCATTTATAAGTGATGTCTAAATTCATTTGAACATTCATTGTACAATTAAGAAGTGTACACAATTTCTATAAAAAAAATGCATTTTACACATCTATTCTAGAATGTACAATTCCAACTTATAAAATCCTAATAGAGTAACCCAATGACCTAATATAGTAAATGCATTAATTCATCACTTATTAAATTTTTTTTTAAGTTTAGAAAAATATTTAAAAATTTCAAATAATTTAAATATTTAATAGTTGCATAGCTAAATTTCACACTAAAAAATAAATAATAAAAAGTAAATAAAAAGGTGTGTTAGTTTTGTCTATTCAAATAGTAGAGTTAAATTCCAAATTGACCCAAATGTAGATAAGTTCCCATCAGACGAAACCAAAGTAAAACAACAAAACTGAAACACCTCTTTCCACAGTCACACACAACTCAACTGGCCGGAAAACGTGCTAGTGTTCCTCGTCCGCCGCCAAAACCAGAAACCTACTCCGCCACGAGATTTTCTCCTCTTTCTACTTACTTCATCGAATTTCTCTCCGCCGCCATTTACAGCCGTGGTAGCGGCCTCTGCAACACGCTAGAGAATTGCGTCGCAGCAGATCAAATCAGAGCTCTACTCAAGGTATGTAACACTGAACGTGATTCCGAGAAATTCATTCATGTTTACGACAACGTGTCCATCAATTTCGCTTTATATAGTGATTTTCTACGTTTTCCTTTGTTACCATAGTACTGTACTACTTGAACAATTTTACTTTGTATCATATAGCACTTTTGAGTTTAGGTTCAGTCTTGCATGTTAAGCCCTAGATCTGAAATTTGGGATGTTTTAGTGAGTTGTTGTACTTGCACTAGTTTGGAGTTTGAATGTTGAGTGGTCTATAAAAATAATGCCCTAAGGGGTAGTGGGTGCCGGGCGGGGGCGGGTGGTGTAGCTCAACTGGTATTTGTATATATGCTATTAGAGTTAAATGAGTGTAACATGCTGGTACAAGTTCAACCCCTAGCGGCAACATTTATTTATATTTATGCATTGATATTTATAAATCAACAATTTTTTTACTTAAGCGTGCGATGATTATATATTTCATTTTCTGTTCATAATATTGGTTAGTACTAAGATTTTTTTTATATATGCGATATTTGATTGGCTTTTGCGTACAGTGATGTTGGAAGCTGGCTAAGTAAGTAATTTTCCAAAATCGAGAAGATGGAACGTCTTTCAGTTCCACCTGGTTTTGTATCCCTAACATCTTTTTTCCTGAAAAAGGAGGACAAGGTTGAGAAAACCAGCAAGTCTGAACCGATTCCCGCAAAGACTAAACCTGAGATGGATGACAATACTTCATATAGCCAGATTTATGCACATCGGCCGTGGATAGTATCGGACCAGAACAGATGCAAATCTGAGGAATCTTGCGCAGAGCATCGTCCTATGGTTATGGTAATTTTGCAATTTTTCCCATTATGTTTATGATTTACGCATTGGATTGCTAGTAGCAAAGAATCAGTTATCTGTTAGAACGTTTAAATGCTATTATTTTAATGACTAGCTTGTTGTAAGTATGAATGCAAATTTACTATGGATTTAATTAAACCTTTTATTTGCAGAATCCCCGTACAAACTCTTCTCGTCCAAAAGGAACCATATATGGATGTCCAAACTGCAGTAATTGTTTAAAGGTAGACATGCCTTTCACCTTAGATTTTTCTTATTGTTATAGAGATGACCTCTTCTCGTTTATATGTATTTGTTTGGTTTTTATTTATCAAAGTCTTGAACCAGGTAACAGCAAGGTGGCATCCTGAGGATGCAAGAAAAGAAGTTCTGGAAGATGCTCCTATTTTCCTTCCAACAGAAGAGGTACCTACGACTTAACATAATAGTATTAGTATGTATTCACCCATGTGTTTTTATGTGTATCGCTTGATTTATATCATCAAATGTGGATTCATATGCTTGTTGAGTTTATAGAATACAGTTGAATGCATTCATATGGTTGTATACATCATGCAGGAATTCAAAGATACACTTGGATATATCGCAAGCATACGTTCCCGAGCTGAACCTTATGGAATATGCCGTATTGTACCTCCTACGAGCTGGAAACTGTCGTGTACTCTTGAAAAAAAGAATGTATGGGAAAACTCTGAATTTGTTGCTCAAACTCAGCGAATTGATGGGCACCAAGTTCAGCATACACAAGAAAGTATGGCTAGCTCTCATGATACTACCGAAAGCAAGAGAAGGAAAGTGATTAAAGGAGAGATGGACTCTCATGGTAATAGAAGCACTTGCACCTCAAATAATGGAAATGTTGAAGGCTGTGGCGGTAAGCCTGAATCCGGTCCTAAATTCACTCTCAAAATGTTTAAGAAATTGGCAGATGAATTCAAGATCCAATACTTCAACTACAAGGATGAGATTAAGATTACGGGTTCTGATAAAAATTCAGCCATACATCAACAGCAATGGGAGCCATCTGTTGAGAATATTGAGGGTGAGTACAGACGGATTGTTCAAAATCCAACTGAAGAAATTGAGGTATATTGATGAAGTTTAAGTGAAACATGTAATGCCCTTTTATATATTAAGTCCTTGATTATTAGTTGTGAAAATATTAATTATGTAGTTCTGCCAAATTGTTTTAGGTTCTCTGTGGTAACACTTCAGAGGCTGGAGATTTTAGCAGTGGATTTCCAATTCCAACTGTTTCTGACCCTGAATATATGAAATCTGGATGGAACTTAAATAATATGCTTTCACTCCCAGGCTCTCTTCTTTCTTTTGAAAACCCTGAAGCTGCACATAAATTTTCCCCCAGGGTACATGTGGGAATGTGCTTTTCTCCACTTAAATGGGTAATGTCATTGAATTATTGATCTTTGTTTCTTTCCTAATTTTTTTACGGGGGAAAACGTCCCGAATGCAACTATATAATCTCTTATTTACTATCCTTTATAATCATTTGGCAAAACAGAAAGTTGAAGAGCACCAATTGTACTCATTATGTTTCATGCATATGGGTGAACCCAAAGTATTGTATAGTGTCCCAGGAAGATCTGCTGATCAGTTTGAAACAGTTTGGAAGAAGCATCTCGGAGATATGAATGCAGGAAAACCTGATTTGCATGATGATCTGGTAAGAATATGATTGTTTCTTGTAATAACATAAACTATAACTGCTACAAAGCTGACCAAAGTCAGTATTCTTTTGGCTGTTGATGTAACGTTTAACAATTATAACTGTAGCCATCTATCCAGTACAGAAAATAAAAGTTGAAAATATTCTTCAGTGCATTCAATTCTATCTAATGGTAACTCCCAATCACATGAAATATGAGGTCTGCAATATGAAATAGTGATTCTTGATATGAATATTCCGTACAGGCTATGCAGTTATCCTGCTCGGTATTGAAGGAAGAGGGTATACCGGTATATCGTTGTGTTCAGTATCCTCGTGAATTTGTTCTTGTCTTCCCTGGAGCATATCATTCAGGATTTGATTGTGGTTTCAACTGTTCTGAAGCAGCAAGCTTTGCTCCTCTTGAGTGGCTGCCTCATGGACAGAATGTTGTAGAGCTATATTGTGAACAGAAGAGAAAGACATTAATTTCGTACGATAAGCTGTTACTGGGAGCAGCAAGGGAAGCTGTGAGGGTCCGCTGGGAAATTGATATACTTATGAAGAGCACGCCCGACAACTTAATGTGTAGAGATGCATATCAAAGAAATGGGATCTTAAAAGAAACTTTGAATGTATGGATCTGACTGCGCAATTTGCTTCTTTCATGTTGGATATACCGTATGTAAACTAATTATATTCGTTTCATTTGTGCAGTCTCGCATCAGTAGTGAGAATTTGAAGAGGAAATTTATTTCTACTTCTTTCAAATCAGAAAAAATGGATGAAAGCTTTGACGCCAGTTGTAAAAGGGAATGTAGCATATGTCTGCGTGATTTATTCCTGTCAGCTGTTGGTTGTTCGTGTTCAGATGACAAGTTTGTCTGTCTTGATCATGCAAGAAAGCTTTGTTCTTGTCCTTGGACAGACAAAATACACCTCTACCGTTACGAAATCAGTGAATTGGAGGTTCTTCATCAAGCTTTGCATGGGAAACTAAGTGCAGTCTATAAATGGGCCAAAGAAGATCTTGGTTTAACTGTGCGCTCGATGGCCTCCAAGAGATCAAAACAAACCCCAGAGAAAGTAATTGGTTCAGTAGGTTTATTGAAAGAACCTATATCGCAGTCGCTGGATCCATACAACAAGTGGAAACAGCTTAAATTGCCGACAACACCAATTGCTTTGGTGGGGAAACAGAGCGAAACGTCCTTCCAAGCCAAGCGGTCCCCTGGTAACGTTCTCAGTAATTCAAATGTCATTCATCCAAAAAACAACACAACTTTACTTCATTCAGCAACATCAAATGAGATCAAAGCTAAAGAGAAAATAGCGGGGCACAATTCTGCTGCAAAAAGCATTGGTGAAGGAAGTAATTCTGCTGCAAAAAGCATTGGTGAAGGAAGTAATTCTGCTGCAAAAAGCATTGGTGAAGGAAGTAATTCTGCTGCAAAAAGCATTGGTGAAGGAAGTAATTCTGCTGCAAAAAGCATTGGTGAAGGAAGTAACTCTGCTGGAATGAAACCCGATAATAGCAATGCAATTGGTGATAAGCTCACAGTTTCAAAGAAAGTAGAAGAACCAAAAGCTTCTGAAGTTTCATCAACTCCAGACTCGGGTTTATTGTCTTTTCTACAAGACGGCATTTTCGATGAAGTTTCATCTGATAGTACAAGCTCTTCTAGTTCTTCAGAAACTAACTAGGTGTAGAAAGCTGAACCAAAAGGGAAGCTTCTACTTTTTAGAGTCATTTCTAGGTTTATCTGTGCAGGATACTAAACTTTTCATGCAAAGTGTGGCACTGATTTTTTTGGATGAAACATTCATCAAGATTTCCAGTTGATTTTAGTGTGTATACTATACTAGTACACAAAGATTGGCAGGTAAATTAATGTTACTCAATAATATAAAAGAACCAACAAGTCTATCCAGGGTTAAGCCAACTCTTGTTGAGGCCAAAAGCAAACTCTAAATTAAGCCTTTGACATAAAAATATAAGTCATTTTAATGCTAATAATAAAGTTTAGTTTAAATTTTACTGATTTTCAAAATGCCAAATGTTTTAGTTATGTCTATTAATGTACTTTACTGTTTCAAAATAATTGACTTATTTGTAAAAGAATTTAGTTCCTAAAATGAAGAGTCATTTCAATTTTTGACAATATTAATAAGATTTATTTTCAAATGTGTTTTTTTAAATAATACCATTTTTCAATTGTATTTCAATTTTTGACGATATTAATAAGATTTATTTTCAATTGTATTTCAAATTTTGACAATATCAATAAGATTTATTTTCAATTTTTCAGGTAATAAGATTTATTTTCAATTGTATTTCAATTTTTGACAATACTAATAAGACTTATATTAAGTTGTGATGCCTTTTATTCATTATTATACTTTAATAACATTTTTGTTAATGATAAAACATAAAGTGAAATATTTTTTTAAAACTTAAAGTTGTTGTTTTAGTGAGCTTCTTTTCTCATCTCTTAGATTTCTCCTAAACTTCTCCTTTTGACACAAAAAAAGTTTACGATTCTACATTTTAAAGCGTGTTTTTGAAGCTCTAGGATTCTAGAATTTTAAAATGTTAATCCACAGAATAATGACAATGAACATAAATATTCTATTAAATTAAATGAAATTCGACATGTTACATGCTAATTCCCGATAATAAATTGTGAATAATTAAAAAATAATAATATCAAAGATCAGACAAATTAGTAACCTCCAATGCACACTGATTTAATCACGTTTTTTTGGGAACGAATAAGTTTAAATAAATAGCACGGACAAATTCAACTAAGATGACACCTAACTCGATCGGTTTTTTTTATAATATATATTAACTAAATATTGAGAACAGGTTCTCACTGTTATCATTGTTGGTGAAGCAAAGGCATCTATCATGAGACACTCTTAGTGAGGAGAGAAAAAATAGAATAATAAGGATTTGTATTATTCAAGTGTATAAATAATGATACACTATGACTATTTTTATACAATCCTAATTGGGCTTGGTCCAACACAACTTGGATTATATTAAATATTAAATCAAATCTAATCTAATCTAATTTAATATTTCAACACACCCTCATAATCCAAGTTGTCGAACATCCTCAAAAATAGTCAATCTGAACTAATTCTAATTTCTTTATCAAATTCAGGAATCTGTCGATCTTCAATCCTTTGGTGAAAATGTCGGCCAACTGTGCTTCACTTGAGCAATGTCTAACTTCAAGTTCACCTTGATTTACTTTTTCCCTCAAGAAGTGAAATCTTGCTTCAATATGTTTACTTCTTCCATACAGAACTGGATTCTTCGTCAGATTTATGACTGACTTGTTGTCGATTTGCAATACTAGAGGTTTTTTCACTTCGACAGTCATTTCTTCAAGTACAGATCTAATTCAAATTGCTTGACATGCATCATAGGATCCCGCTATATATTCAGCTTCACACGATGACAATGCCACTACAGGTTGCTTCTTCGAACACCATGAGATTGGGGCATCAAATACTTGAAAGAAATATTCAGTTGTGCTTCTTCGATCTTCCTTATCTCCACACCAATCAGTATCTAAAAAACAATTAACTATTGCTTCTTTGCCTTCAGAATCTCGTCGAAATAGTATTCCATAATTTATTGAACCCTTCAAATATCAAAGGATTCTTCTTGCAGCCTTCATATGTGACACTCTTGGTTCACCCATATATCTGCTTACTAATCCGACTGCGAAACCTATATCAGGTCGACTATTGCACATATACCTCAGAGATCCCACAATTTGCTTGAACAAAGTTGCATCGACTTTGTCTTCCTCTCCATTCTTCTCCAACTTCACATTTGGTTCGACAGGTGAGGATGTAGGATTCAAATCATCCATTCTAAATCTCTTGAGTATTTCTTTGACATACTTTCTTTGATGTAGCACCATACCTTGCTTCGACATTTGAAATTCCATGCCTAGAAAATAAGACAATTTTTCTAGATCTGACATTTCAAATTCCTTCGTCATCAGCTCTTTGAACTTCGACAAGTTCTCCAAACTATTTTCAGTTACTAGCAAGTCATCAACATACAAGAAGATGATTGTTATATCTTGTGCTACAACCTGAACATAGACACCATACTCGGATTTGCATTTGGCAAATCCTAATTTGACTAAGTATGAGTCGATCTTCTTGTTCCATGCCCTAGGTGCCTGCTTGAGGCCATAGAGGGCTTTGTGCAATCTATATACTTTACTCGCTTCCTTTTGAATCACAAACCCAGGAGGTTGTGTGACATAAACTTCTTCGTTTAAAGGACCATTCAAAAATGTTGATTTCACATCTAGATGAAATGTTGACCAGCCTTGGTTGCATGCCAATGCTACTACTAGTCGAACAATCTCTAATCTTGCTACTGGAGCAAATACTTCAGAGTAGTCAAGTCCTGCTCTTTGAAGAAAACCTCGAGCTACTAATCTTGCTCTATGTCTTGCTATTGACCCATCTACATTGTGTTTCAACTTGAACACCCACTTTACTTCGATAGCTTTTGTATGTGTTGGCAATTCGACTAATTCCCATGTGTTGTTTCTTTTGATTTCCTGTAACTCTTCGACCATAGCTAACTTCCACTTGTTAATCTTCAAAGCTTCACTATAGTTGATTGGTTCAGCACCTGCAAGTAAAGCAAAATGAACTAATTCTCTATCTGGTGTGATTTCATCATCACCCATCACTTCATAATCATGAAGTCTTATCGGAAGAACTCTATTTCTTTGAGGTCTTTGGCTTGTTTCAGCCACAACCTCTTCGACTTCGACTATGACGGGAGTGTCAACAACCGCTTCTTCTTCGACTTTGACTGGATTCTCAATAATTCCTTCGACCTCTACTTCATTAGTTTCTTCGTCGAAATCAAAGTTCATTAATGATTTGTTAATTGAATTTCTAGAATTCCAATCCCAGGCAGAATTTTCATTAATCACAATATCTCGACTCAACACAATATTTTCATTAACTGGATTGAATAGTCTGTATGCACCAGTTTTATGATATTCTACCAGAATCATAGGTTCACTCTTGTCATCAAGCTTCCTTCTCCTTGCATCAGGAACATGCTTGTAACACATAGAGCCAAACACCTTTAAGTGACTTACTGATGGTCGTTTTCCACTCCATACTTCTTCAGGAACCTTGTTCTTCAATATCTTAGTAGGACACATATTCAAAATATAAACTGCAGTCAAAACAGCTTCTCCCCATAAAGATTTTGGCAAATTCTTTTTCTTCAGCATGCATCTTGCCATATCTAATATGGTTCTATTTCTTCTTTCAGCAATTCCATTATGTTGAGGTGTGTAAGGAGCAGTTACCTCATAATCAACACCATGTTCTGCACATAAATCTTTAAACATCTTGGATGTGTATTCGCCACCTCCATATGTTCGTAGAACTTTGATCTTCTTCTCACTCTGGTTTTTGACAAGTATCTTGAATCTCTTAAAGATTTCGAATACTTCGTCCTTTCGTTTGATCACATAGATCTACAACTTTCGGTTAAACTCGTCGACAAAGGAAACAAAATATCTGTTTCCACCAATTGTATGTTCTTCAAATGGACCACATACATCTGAATGCACCACTTCGAGAATGCAGGATGATCTCATTGACATAGTCGAAATGAAAGAATTTATGGATTACTTTCCCACTAAACAACCTTCACAAAGTTTTTCAGGCATCTCAAGAATTGGAATACCAGTAACCATATCTTGAGTAATCAGTTGATTAAGTGATTGAAAATTCAAATGTTCAAAACTCAAATGCCACAACCAACTATCCCCGTGGTCGACAACAGTTTTCAAACATTGATCTTCTGTCGAACTGATCATAGTCTTAAATGTCATGTTCTTTGACAATGGAGATTGTAAAACCAAATTTTTCTTAGTGTCGAACAATTTCAAAACTCTATCTTTCATGACAACTGAGAAACCTTTTTCAACTAGTTGTCCAACACTTAACAAGTTGCATTTCATTCCAGGTACATAGAGCATATCTTTGATCATAGCTTTCCCTCCATTACTCATTTGAAAGACTATGTTTCCAGTACCTTCTGCTTGCAACGGACTATTATCAGCAAGTTTTACCTTGCTCTTCTTCGACTCGTCAAAATCTGCCAACCACTCCTTTCGACCAGTCATGTGGTTCGAGCAACCTGAGTCGAGAAACCAGATATTAGATTCAACATGGTTATCTGCAACTGCAACCGTAACTATCATACCACCTTCAGAATCATCTGAATCTTGGCGTGCAAGGTTCACTCCTTCGTCCTTGCCTTTCGATCCCTTGTCTTTTTTGTACCAACAATTCTTGGCCAAGTGTCCCCACTTTTCACTGTTATAACACTACATACCTTTCTTATCTTCTTTGTCCTTTCGATAGTTTCCTCCTCCCTTTTTCGAGGATTCAGAAGATCTATCTTTGACCTTATTCTTATGGGAATTCGACCAAGACTTCTTGCCATGAGTCTTGTCGAACTTGCCTTTGAATTTGTTGGAACCATTATATTTTTTCCATGATTGAGCTTGCAGTTCCTGTATCAAGTCCTGAACTCCTTTCCTGTCGACAATCCCCATCTCATGCGCCTCCAACGAACCAATCAAATCTTCCACTTTAGTGGTTTCAAGATTGTTGGATTCTTGAATAGCTAC